TATATCTCCGGCTGGGAATTCGGAATTCCGTTTAATAAAAAGATCATCGGAAAAAAAATCAGGACACGTCATGTGACGATTTTGTGCCCTGGGTACTGTATTAAAATAATTTTTAATAAAAATTCTATAACTATAATTAGAGTTAAACTATAATTAAAACTAGAGCTAGAATTAGGGTTAGAATAAGATAAAATTATAACATCATGTTTTACAAAAATACTATGCTATATAATTTCTTTTAAAAATAAAAATATAATTGTAAATAGTAATAACAGTAACCTAAAGTTAAATCTAAAGTAAATCATAATATATAGTAAAATTTAGCATGTATTTTTTTTTTAACTGCAAAAGGTTTCATAGGCATAATTTTGAGTTATTATGGTTTGATTTTTGAATCGTGCAGTCGAATTGTCTTGGTGACTGAAACCACCGGTAACAAATAAATTGTTACGAGAATTTGCAGATTGATATCCATAGAATTAACTATTAAATATATTTTATTTATTATAATTCTGACAAATTATTTATTAGATCTAAAATTTACCACTATAGATAAAACATTTTAATTATAAGCCTCAAATTTTAGTGAAATTTACCATGAAAATTTGGCGATATATCTTAGTTACCTATATGCAATTTCTAAGCTTGGAAATAATGATATTTTTTTAATTTTTTTCTAATAAAATTTTTCTATTGGGATCCATGAATGCCTTTAAAGTTTCTTCAGTTATTTCGGATTTGCGCTTTTTTTTTTTTTTTTTTGAGAGGAGATAACATTCAATAATCTTTTATAAAATTATATAAAAAATTACAAAGGGTCAAGTAAAAGCATACCTGTTGAAAATCTCCGACAAATTTTTGTAAGACTTTAATACAACGCTCTTTTAATTCTCCTGTCATCATTTCCCCTGACTTATATTTCTGCAACATTACCCAAAATATTAACATTATTTATTAGTAAAAAAGCTATGTAATTAAACGATAGAAATATTTATATTGTATTGAACCTTATAAATATCGGCCAGTTCGACATCATCATCTAAAAACACAGCCAAATATTGATACGCGACATCAACGTCCGGGTTTCCCCCGTGTAATTTATGGAGTTCAAGTGTGTCACCGCCACCCGAGAAGGCAAATTTGTTTATCTAAAGTTTAGCGAAGAAAAATCTCAGGACCTAACACATTCTATATAAAGGTTAAAACAACGGAAAATTTTAACGAACCTTTTTTTTTATTTGATTAGGTGTATCTGACATAAATATCGCAGAGTTATCTACAGATGCGCTCATTTTTGTTTGAGGACCCTAAATCATAGCAATAAATCATGATGATAACTCTATTGTAAGTTTATATCTACGACAAATTTTACCTGAAGCGCGGGAAAAAATTTAGCATGAATTAGACAGGGTTTTGGATACTTGAGTTTATGTGCAACGTCACGTGTCAACCGGAAATACGGATCCTGAATAGAAGTATTAGATTGTTGAATTTTGACATTTTTCAATAATACTATAAATAATATTCGGCTAACCTGATCAATAGCACACGGGATTAAACAAGGTATATCAGAACGCGTGCCAAATATTTGTGGGAAACTGTTAGAAAATGATGGTGTGGCTTGTACAGCAACAAAATGTAGTTTTCCGATGCAATCACTTAAACGAAATGGAATGTTGGCAAATATTGTACTTAAAATACGATCAATAATGTACATACTATAATGAAGTTCACCTGTCATTGAAACCAAAGGTGGCCTTGGATTGACTAGCAGTAATGCACTTTGAGATTCTCACGACGTTGTGATAAAATGCATCACTATATGTGCATTATGGTATTAATGGTTAATAAACTAGATGCAAAAAAAAGTCATGAGTAAATAACTAAATCGATTACCGACCCGACATAATCAAGGTTGGAAAAGATCAAAGTCTTTTCTAATTTAAAACCACACGCGATGATATCTTTTGCGTTGTCATATGAAAATTGACGCGCCTTCTCTAATGATAGGTCAGGCTTGAAAAGAAATTTTTCATCATCTGATAACAAGTCAGTTCATCATGTTAAGAAAACTTAAATATCATTTAAGAATTAATAAATGTAATGAACACTGACCAGTCAGCTGAATGACAATTGGAATATCAAAAACTTCTTGCAGCCATCTAAATGAATTAATTTTATCATATATTTCTCGTAAAAGAAAGATCAAGAAATAACTTACTGGCAAAAAATGAACGGGACCATATGCCCAAGATGCATGCTTGCGCTACTTGGACCACGCCCTGTATAGAGGTAGAATGGTTTCTTTTGTTCGAAACGATCTAGAATACGTGTAAACTCTCTAGATTTATAAACAGATCAATAACTTACTATGTGATATTGGCTTGAACAATGATACACAAAATAAAGAACAAAACGTACCTATGTGAAAAAAAGAAGCCTCTTCTGAGAAAAACATGACATTTTCTTCCGGTTAAACTCTCAAATCTTTTTAGGAGTTCTTCGTCGACATGACGGGTTCCAAATTTCTCGATTAGTTTATTATAATCAATTGCTTGAGTTTTACCATCGATCGTAGCGCCTTCAACCTCCCAAGGAGTAATTATTTGCTCCTGAACGTTTGGCTTGGAATCCCTGTCGCGTATAAGAGTGATGATGATAACGATAGTTATGAACATAATTTTATTGATTGGAAGTCAGTTCAAATTATCTGAACTTTGTGGCGCAGGGCCATTTTCATGTAATTTGTAATTCATGTGATTAGCTAAATTACATGAAACCTTATTGTTATGCGGAGTCTATTGTACGTAGTTTGTGCATACCGATGCATGAAATATAATATCGACGCGTTGTTAAATAAAGTAAAGCGTTATAACAAACAGTGTTGTGGTTAAAGGCATAGAAAGAAAAGCGTAAAGGTGTAATAACTATAGATGCTGGTGAAACTCATGGTGAATGGTGGTGAAACTGGTGAAATTTAATATAATAGCCAATTATTTAGTTTCACCAGCATCTATTGCTATGGTAATAACAAACTGTGGCGGTGTGTGCTGTGTCTGAAAGTCCAGAAGGAAAAGCGTAAAGGCATAATATCAATTAGTGGTGGTGTGTGCTGTGGTTGAAGGCGTAGAAGGGAAAGCATTGTTAGCGTAAAGGCATAATATCAAACAGTGGTGGTGTGTGCGTAGAAGAAACATTGTTAGCGTAAAGGCGTAATAACAAACGGTGAACTAAATAAGAACAATAAAGAACCTTACCAGCGTTGTATAATCAATAATAACGGAATTAACAATGATACAAAATAAAAACATTGAAGGATCAATATGATAAACGAATTGACGAAAATGGAAGAGAGCGTTACAAGTGCAAAGCATGTAATAAGGAATGGGCAAAAAATTTCACCCGATTACAAGAACATTTGAAAGCGTGTGCTTTAAGAAATTCAATGTCAAATGAGATTTCCGGTGCAATAAAAAGCGATTCTCAGACAATTTTGCTGAACAAGATCAAATGGAATTAGAATCCTTACTTGCCCGTGCTTTTTTTACTTCAGGAATTTCAGTCATTTTTATTAAAAATGAAGATTTTGGTGCTTTCCTAAAAAAAGCTTGTCCAGCCATCACGTTATAAACTTTCTAATTGATGAATATACGAGTTCACAAGTAGTCGTTCAAGACGTTCTTGATGAATCGCCTTACCATTGCTTAGTTAGTAATGGTTGGTCTAATGTTAATAAATCATCCGTAATTAACTATATGGTAACTACTTCCGCTCCTATTTTTTATAAATCAACTATTGTTAGCGTAAAGGCATAATATCAAACAGTGGTGGTGTGTGCGTAGAAGAAACATTGTTAGCGTAAAGGCGTAATAACAAACGGTGAACTAAATAAGAACAATAAAGAACCTTACCAGCGTTGTATAATCAATAATAACGGAATTAACAATGATACAAAATAAAAACATTGAAGGATCAATATGATAAACGAATTGACGAAAATGGAAGAGAGCGTTACAAGTGCAAAGCATGTAATAAGGAATGGGCAAAAAATTTCACCCGATTACAAGAACATTTGAAAGCGTGTGCTTTAAGAAATTCAATGTCAAATGAGATTTCCGGTGCAATAAAAAGCGATTCTCAGACAATTTTGCTGAACAAGATCAAATGGAATTAGAATCCTTACTTGCCCGTGCTTTTTTTACTTCAGGAATTTCAGTCATTTTTATTAAAAATGAAGATTTTGGTGCTTTCCTAAAAAAAGCTTGTCCAGCCATCACGTTATAAACTTTCTAATTGATGAATATACGAGTTCACAAGTAGTCGTTCAAGACGTTCTTGATGAATCGCCTTACCATTGCTTAGTTAGTAATGGTTGGTCTAATGTTAATAAATCATCCGTAATTAACTATATGGTAACTACTTCCGCTCCTATTTTTATGTTATAAATTTGATAATAAATCATAAGAAATTGCAAATTTTGAAGAGCTATACTGCAAAATTTTATTAATACAACCACTTTTGTGTCTTAAGTAAAAAATAATCCTAATCTTATTTTAAATTAATTTATGTAAAAAAAATTAATTTTAAAAAATTTGTCAATTTTCCCCTTTCTGCAGCACCTAGCCCATATTTAGCAGTCACATTTAAGGATTATTTGGATTATTTTCTATTGACTTATATCTGTTTAGTAAGTCAATAGATTTGAAATCTTCAATAGAAAATTGATACACCCCAATATATGTAAATCATAGTTTCATATAAGACAATTATAGTTTCGTACAAGAAAACATAGTTTTGTATAAAAAAAATCATAATTTCATAGGGTTTTTTTTTGATATTTAAGTAATTATACATATAAATTTTAATTATTAGTTTTTTTTTTTTAAAAAAAAAGTGTTTTAATACTAATTTAATTTAAAAAAAATGTGTATATATTTTATAATATATCAATTATTAAAATTATATGATCGTCGATTTTGTACTGATAATTACTCTACCCTTAAAAATCGCCTAAAAAATTGGTTTGTTTCACAAAATTCAGACATTACATATTCGTGCGGGTAACGGGTAAATTTTTTCACGAGAAATGTATCCCGTGCCGAAATTTACCCGAATCTTGAAAAAACAATTGATTTCCGTCAGCAAAAACTCCATATACAGTGTTTTAGCTGCTTTCATATTTTCTAGTAGTCGAATCGATAAGTTATCGAGTCAAAATCAATGAGTTACTGATGTTGACTGATGTCAAAAATTTATCATTTTGGTCATTTTTCGTGTTTCAGAATTTATAGTAATACAATCTAACAATTTCATACGTATATAGCACCGATGGTCTCTTTACATAAGACAGCGGTCACTATAAAAAATAGAGCACGGGAATATAACACAGGACAGTGCACGGAAAAAGGCGTGAATTCTGTGCAATAGTGCACGTAATAGCGTGCTTATAGTTACGTATGTAGCCGTTCATTGTTTCGTGCACATAAGAAAATTTCGCAAATTCCGTGCAACTGATCTGAATTCCGTGCTTTGAACGTGCTATATTTCGTGCTGACATGTGCACTCACGTGTAAAAACTTATAGGA